TTTTTTGGTCTTAGCCGTAAGTTCTTTTGTAAAACGGACCTTAGGTGTCCACCACTCCTCCTAATCCTGCAGTGTTTTGATGCTAAATCTTAAGATGAAGTTGATAATGTGCCTATGCAATGTGAACTTGATTTTTTTCCCCTGTTTTCTCAGGAAATATCAATTAAGGAAAAAAAAAAAAGTGTCGAAATTAAAATAAAATATGGTAATTATAAACAGTTGAAGTTTGATCAATATCTCAAATACCATGGATATATGAAGTCAGTTTGGAAAACAAACAATGATTTCTTTAGAGTATTTAAAATTCAGTATCTTGAATGCCCAGGTATTTCATCTTTTTTTTCTTGGTCCCATTGAGTTTGATCTATAAGGCTTAATTGACCGCCTTAGTATGAAAGTAAAAAAAAAAATTTGGTAGAAACAAATGAATTCATAACAAGACATGTTTGTAAAACACTTATGCCCCCTCCCCCCAAAATGGAATTTTTCCAAGTCCAAAAAGGCATAACTCTCCCAAAACAGAAGTTGACCTAGGCATTCATGTGATATATCTGTATACTAAATTTCATTTCAGTCTGTGCAAGGGTTGTGAAGAAAATGAACGGAAACTAAGTGAACCGACAGACCGACAGACAGACCAACAGACAGCAGCAAAGCAATATGCCCTCCCTTCTTCGAAGGGGGGCATAAAAATTATTATCAGAATTCAAGAAAACACAATGTTGGTGGTAAGACTGTAATTAGCAAGTTTCCCACAAATTCCTTCTGATTGGTCAAACCGCCTTAAGATTCCGCTTCTAGTAACACTACTACCTCCTAGACGGTAAACATCCTTTTCCATTCATAAGCAAGAATAAGCAATCCTACAGTAATCTTAATTTTCATAACAATTATCAATTTCAATTTATTTTTCTCTTTAATTGTAAATACCACCTCTCACTGGAGTCAATTAAAGAATGATTCGGACTCTGCATATATGTTTATAATTAAATTTCACCCCCCCCCCCCCCCCCCTATCTTGAAAAGTGGGAGGGTATATAGACAATCAGATTTTTCCGTCCGTCCGTCTGTTACACTTTGGGGTACCCATCTCTTATCCGCAACTCCTTTCATACCACTGAAGGAAATTTAATGAAACTTTCACAGAATCTTCATTACATATTGCCATTGTGCACCTCCTATTTAACTTTTTGATCTGACATATATTTTGGATTTTCCAGAGCAAAACATGGACACTGTCATTATATTCATATGGGAGGCGGGGGGTATCGTTTAGTGAGCTCATTGCTCACAGTACCTCTAGTTTATCTTCACATTGGCATATATTTAAAAATTTATAGTTTGGGAATTTCATTTCAATTTTCTTTAATTAATGAAATATATCCATGCAATCATTTATTAGTTATGTTCCAGATATGGGAATTTTAGCAATTGGGAAATTTGAGACAAACAGATTTAAATTAGTAAGAAAGCTAGGCCCATGCAGAGCAAATTAATATTTTTTCAACAAATGGTTTAATCATCAGATGTTAACATGATGGCCTATGGGTCAAAAAATGGCTTCAATTTTTTATATTTACAGCCTTGTTTCTTTTAGATCTCTTTAAATTTTGGTCATGAATACTGTAAAATCAGATATTTTCCTGGGGTCAAATTTTCTATGATTTTTGGAAAAAATAGCGGTTTGTGGGGATTTGCTTTTGTGGTTGGAAAATGTTTAGTAGTAATGCATAAGAAATTTACAATTCATGGTTGTCTTAAATTTGTGGGTCTCACCATACATGTACCTCGAATACAACAAAAATTAAATCCCTACCGAAATAAGTGATTTCACAGTATTTTTTTCCAATATACTGATCAACTTTTCCTCCTATTACACTTTTATTAAATTAATTAAGTCAGTTAATATCTCAATGAAAACCCAATTTTCACGTTTTTATTTCCCTTGAACTTAAACTTTTTCTTTCAATTTCAAAACTTCTATAATAAAAAAGTGGCGAAAAAGTGAATGCGTTAAAAAAGAATTTTTCAAAATTTGTATATGCTTCAATCTGAAATTTCTAAAAGAAAAAAAAAGAAAAGGTTTATCTTACTAACATACTTTCTTTTTTCTGAATGTTATCCAAGAACCTCATATATTTTTATATTTGGCCTAAATACAGAATTATTACAGATATGTCCAATCTAGGCAACATTTATTACAGTACTCAAACAAATTAATATCAATAAATGGTAAATTCTGAAAATACAATGATACTATAAATTTGTCTGGTGTAGATAAGATTTTCATTAGCAGCTCTCCGACAATTTATTTTTGATTGGTTAAACAATCTGAAGTCTTAATTAATTTTCATTCGCAGTTCTACCTCCAAGATGGGAATTTCTATTTCTCATTCATGAATTTATTTTTCATTCATAAAAATATTTGCTGAAATCCAATTTACAACTTTAATGTGACAATGATTGGTAATACATAAATATATGTATATAAATGTATATATATTATATAAATACATAATTATAAATACCTTTAATATATTTAACAAACTTGTTAAATTGAAATTAATTATTTTTCCATTGAGTAAGTTATTAAAAATGATTAAATTTTTCAAAAGTAAAACATTATAGTTTTATTAAAATTATATTAATATATATAACAGGAATTTTCTGATTGGCTTTCTTTATCAATTGCAACCACTAAAAGGTAGCAAATTAATTTTTGCGTCTTCGATTCCTGTGGTTGCACTATACCGCAAAAAATTATTTAAGGGGTACACTTTAGGATCATCAAACTCTTAAGATTTAATAGAACAGTACTGCCATGATTATGTTTTGTAAATTCATTCAGGCACATGAATAAAAGGTGCACGAGAACAGGTATACGCAATTTAACTTCACTAAACAAGTAGCTTTTGGTCACTCTTTGTAAAATTTTGCCTAGTCCTAATTGAAAATAATTATTGTTGTGTAACAGTACTAGTCCACTCAAACAACAATTAAAATCTTTAGTCTAACACTGCAGATGTCAATTTTATATGATCTATCAAAATAATTTTAATAAAAATATAGATAATAATGCCTCCAAGCCATAATCTAAAATACACTTAAAATTAATTGCCATCAAAATTAAATCGGGATTTTCATTTGAAGCTAAAACAAACAGCTGCATCATCAACCACCCCAAAAAATCACATGTGTCACATGCATTGTAGTGTAACTAACTATTACTTTCAGTCGTCTGATTTGGATGAAATTCACAAGAAAATCGAGCCATATTGTATACACAAGCACTTATTTTAATCACAGTCTCAAGACAAAACACAAGATTAAAAACTGGAAAATAAGAAAGAAAAACTGCCATATTTTGTTTGTAGCTATCAGTTTCGATGTCACCCGCTCAACGAAGACACGTCCACACATGTTGCAGAGGCACCACTTATCATACTTGCATGTATAATACCCAAGGCATATTAAAAATACTTTGCGATTGTAATTTTTGCATTTCACTATATAAATTCAATAGAGCCCCACCCAAAAATACCCGTTATACGGTAGTATGGCTGAAATTTATTTTTCAAAAAAAAATACAATTTTTCTTTTAAAAATTTACAGCTTTTATTTTTCTTACAGAAAATATAGTAACACATGTTGATAACAAAGTGCGAGGAACGGAAAATTTTGCTTTGTTATAATTAATTGTTAAAGATGTGAAGTTTACAATACATTTTAAAGTTCTGGGTAATAAAAATTACTTCCCTGTAAGCACCAATTCATTATAACTATATGTGTGTGTTATAATGTGTATTATATGTAATACTGTGGTAATCATTTTTATGTAACCAATGTTGGGTTTTTTTAATACCCAGGAACAGAGAAGAAAAACTTTACTTTACTTTGAAATAATGCTTTTCACTATATATGTTATCTATATATGAACAATAACCCACTGAACAAGTCCCACGAACATTTATATTCATGACTGAAAATGATTCTGGTGTACAATATAATAAACGTAACCTATCATATTCAGTTAACTCTATAGATACATATTGACATCAGAAATACAGAAAACTATATATTGACTTAAATGTTAGTGACCAGTTGATATGCTTTTCGGTGATTAAGTCAACATATTTATATCTTTATTAATACTTGATTAACCTCATGGAAGAGCCTTTATTTGTAAACAGAAAAAGGAAAATTGCCAAATCTTTTTTTAACTTTTTACAGATTGGAATGTCAAAATCATAATGATTTAAAATTAAAAACAGTTTAGAAGAAACCTATCCTAAAAAAGGTTCATCAGAAGTACTGGATGCCACTCATGTTTTCAAAATTTACATAATTAACCTGCATGTTTGAAAAAAAAAAATACCCAGAACAAGCTGACAATGTCAATTGAATAGGTTTGTCAAATAGTACATGATTTGTCCGTACGATGAAAAACGAATTCATTTTTTTTCTCTTTATGTGCATCATAAAGATTTTAGGTGTCTTTTGAAATCACTAGTACCTTATACTGCACATTTATTTACTTTCTTTCAAATGCTGGTATCTGTTTTACATGTATGTATTTAAATATACAAAGATGGGGTCCTTTGTCGATTCAAATTACAAACAGAGACAATTAACTTAGTAAGAATTCATAAAAACAAAGAGACCATTCGTCTTTATATATATAACCTACTATTGTACTCCCTGTAAAGTTAGGTAATAGGTAGTATGAATCATTTTGAAACTGACGTCTTGATTTTGCCAGGTAAATCTTAAGGTGTGAAGTAGGTAGACTTGATTGGCCAATGTCCAGCAATGAATCACTTCGTGAGCCAGGTAGAGAGCTAAGAAATAACAATAGTAGACCCATTGGCTCGACTGCTTCCCAAACAATTGATGTCCAGGAAATGTCTATAAAACTCCTCCAACTCTTATTTATACCATTTAATATTTCAAATTTCTTGACATTTCTTATCATAGGTGGCAAGTGAGATATTTAATCTTACCTTTTTTTTTCTTTTTCAAGGCAATCTGTACTTGAATTGTTTTCTCCTTGTACACCTGCTAATTATGTAAACTTAAAACAATTTTACTGAAATTTAAGATACAAACGTACAAAATAATTATCAAAATCAAAGATTTTTAAATCAATAAAAAACATGCAAAATTTTTACAAACTAAGATCAATGAAAAATAAATTTCACTATTGCTCTTTTCTAATCTACATTTTCTTACACTAAAAATAAATTTTATAAGTACTCAATTACATTTTCTTGAGGGCTTTTACTTCTCTGTTTTATATGATCGATTAAGCATTTATTTGCGGCTTAATTATTACATCCGGATTTTCTGATCTCCAATCTTGTACTTAAATGCATAATTTCCAATGCATGTACAGATATATTTTTTTTCATATTATATAAATTTACAAATATGATTTGCATGTCCATTGGCTTTGCAATGTTTTATGAAAAATTACATGCATAATTGTAAAATATTTCATTGTTTACATTTTAGGAAAATACATCATATTCTGGACAGTGTTAATTATCCAAAACCTTAACTTAATTACATAAATTGTACTTTTAAAAGTAAAACATTACAAAAATTACTTTAATTAATCATAAACATACCTCAGATTCACGAACTTCTTTTGCTATGTGGTGTACAGCACAACTGTTTTGCAATTGGAAAAAAAAAATAAAAGCATTATATTATGTTGATCGAGCTATTATTTTTTCAATTAAAATCAAAATAACATAAAATATATGATAAATAAGATATTAAATTAGTACACATGCATGTTTGTGTGTCAAACTGGAATGCGAGAGCTTTCAAGCAAAATGATGAATTTTGAAAAAATAAATATTTTTGTTACTCAGTACACATGTAAGTACAAAACCAGCCTTCAACAAATAACAATAATTACACATGTAAAAAAAATTTAAATACTTGACCGTATTTTGACACAATGAACATGCATACACTACAGAACTCGTTAACATCAGTCTTTCTTCACTTAAAACAATCACTTTCTGTATTCAACTGCTTCATGAAATTTACATCACCACAAATGAGTTCTTTACTTTAAAAAAAACAAAACAAATGGGTAACTAAGTACAAATAAACATGCATGAATATTTAATGTTAGAAACTGCGCACAACTTGAAGATTATTTATATTGACAATTAACCACGTTTTATTTGTACTGAATCTGTTGAAATTTAGGTCTTGGTTACGCGCGACATGTAACGTCGTGATTCTGCGGCACATTACGTCGAGTTTATGTGCTGTCAACAAGGTGCTTGATTTGCATATACTGTGTCTTCCACGTTAATTAGTTCTTCGTTAGAAGCTAACCAGCCAAGTGACCATGTGGCAATTTGCTGCTAATCTGACACATGTATATTTATCTTGTAGAATTCAGTTAAAACTCTTTTGTTGAATTTTAAGATATTCTAATCCATCACCGTCACACAGAGTTATTCAGCTTTGCCACTTTAATAACTTTTGACGACATCCCCAAATGAATTCTAATTACATGTCATATTTAATTTCCAAGGAAAACATTTTAAAAAATTATTATTCAAAAATTCATGTGTCATTTCACAATGACAAATAGTAATTTTTCACAGAAAAATGTCCTTTTTCATTTATTAATGAGTAAATGTTTTGCATTAAATTTTAATTTTTCTCAACAGCTTAAAATTAATGATAGTGGAGAAGAAATAACAAATTATGGTCCTTAAATTACAAATTGCGGTTCCTTCAAACTGTTAAAAAAACTAAGTACTTCGAAAGTTTAGCAAAGAAAGTCGTTTTTTTTTTAACTTTAATTGGGAATATTTTAAAATCATACATTGCAAAAAAAAGTATTCCTATGGTTAGAACCAATGTGTACATGTTGTACATGTCTTACTAACTCCCTTAAATACTCTGTATTAATTTTATACTTAGTTAACTAACACTTATAAGGTTGCATGGATCTTGATCAAATGTCTCCAAGAACTTTAATATACTGAACATTTAATACAATTATATACAGCTGTACCTGTCCTAAAACACCAAAAGGTATTAATGCCGAAATATGGCTGAAATATTGACGACTAAGTGTAAAATCATGTAATCACATACTGCTGGGGCAATAAAAAAAAAAAAAAAAAATGTGTAAAACAACAATAAATCAATAATCAATCAATCAAAACTTAAGAAAGAATTCTTAGCAATCTTTCTCTCTATCTCTCATACTACAAGGGATTGGTCATCTATATTCCTTATGATAAAAGTATGCAACAATATGTGTATCAGAAAGAATCATTCTTCTTTTGCTGCAGAATGGGAATTTATTGATTAGTATGTGGTATTCTGATAATTACAGACATTGCTTCAAAGTAGGTGGCAAAACTTCTACCCCCACATCTAAACAAATACTGTGGTCAGACAGATACAGACCCAATGAAAAGGCAAATATATCACTTTTATCTGCTCCTAATGCATCTCTATTTTCTATTGATATTAACCAACTACAAACAACCACTAGCTAATCAGGGAATCCCTGTAACTCTATTTGTGTATGACCCCCTGCAGATTTTGTCAATGAACGAGCTCCCCCCATTCATGATTTCTACCCACACTCTTCAGCCTTGAACTCATATTGCCTATGTGTTTAATCAAAATTACTGGAATTAAGGTTCCTCCTAAACATGTGGCTTACATCTTACTATGTATATAACAAACAGAACATGATTTTTAAAGCCCTAACTCTTGCATGGTGAGCAGGGAGACCAAAGACAAAGTTGTCCCAGCATGAATCCATTTTTAATTCTTTTCATTATTAAGCACAAATCATTCATAAATTCTCTTTTCCTTAAAATTATTAAATTGCATAGCATTTGATAAAATTCTGGACATGCATTTTGATATTGCCAAAATAATAATTTACTTGACAATTGTCAAGAAGTAAAGAAAAAAATATTTTCCATTAATATACCTAGAATATGTCAAACTAAAATGTATATAAAGCTCATATCTACTGTTGCTTAAGGAAAATTTGTTGGTAAAAATGATACAATTTTTTGACAATCATACACAATCCATTTATTATGAGTATAATTATGGCACAGGTGTAGCATCAATTAAATAGCAATAAACTGTGGTATATTTCCAGGCCTTGTGTATTTCTTTAAAAATTTCAGGATAAATAAATACAGATTAAACTGACATGCCAAAAAAAAAAAGAACAGTTTTTGGAGGAGCTCTGTTCAGTGAGTCACCCCTCACAAAAAAAAGGTGCCACACGGAGTTTTTGTGTATGAAGCAGCCCCCCTGACCATCCTATACCTCCCACTCCCTGTCTGGACAAATCACCCCCTTTCAATGCTCCTGGTGTGTTTGATGCCACAGTTCATGAGTTTATGATGGGTCTGAGTGACCTCTTTTGCTGGTACCATTCTCATTCATAAATCTATGTTTACTGGGTATTAAACACACTCTGCGCTTGGCACAGATCTGTGAACTACCACAATGCAAGACATATATGTTTTTTTATAACCTCCAGATGTGCTATAAATTTACTTATACAAAGAAATCTGATGGGGAATTAAACTGGTCATTCAAATATATTCACCCACAAGTCCTTGTATAAAATATATACAATGTCAAGATAAATCTGGAATTCTCTGATAGAAAATTAAAACAGTTCTGTGAGACTAAGTCCTTATGTTGGTAAACCATTATGTAGCAATTATCTAACTTTTAAAGTGTCTGCATCATGACTTCTGGAAAGTAATTTAGCATGTTTTGAACAAAAGAACATATCCCCAATCCATTAATTAATCAGTCTGGACTCTAATGGATTCAAATTAAACTTTAAAGTCACAAAAGTACATTTCACTATACATAAAGATCATTAATTTACTAGCTTTGTTTTATTTTAGAAAGATACAGTACATTTATTGATAATTAGAACTGACTTAACTACAACTGACATAAAGGATTTGTCAAAATTGACAGGTGCTTGAAAAAAATATATATATACCTAGAGTCAATTAAATATTGACAGAATTCTTAAAAATATACAAATACTGATTACTTTAAGTGTTTATTAAGCATATAAATGATGTCAATTTTTACATGATTATTTAACTTGATCCAATTATTATTAAGATTTAGAGTTCAATAAAAATAAACTTTTTTGGTACATGAACCCTCAACAATATTTTCAAATTCACTTTATAAGTATTAAATGTACTAACTTACTTTGTAAGTATTGTACTATCTTGTGATGGTAAAAACACATTTAGCTGTACTCAACTACTAGTACCGCCTACTTCAACAATATTGAAGTTTCATTTCAAAGCAATCTGGTGTCAAGTACAGTACATCTCTATATAAGCTTTTACATATAAAGGCCACAAGATGATAAGTACAAACACACGCATACTTGCAGTCAGACAATTAGTACATGTATCATATAATAAAGCACCTCTTTGATAATATGAGTACTGAAAATATGAAACAATTGAATAAGTTCACAAGTGATGGGTATGATAAATGATCCTGTTTTCATTTGAATAAAGTATTCATCTGAGAACTTTTATGACCGTATCTTTTTATGAATAGAAAAATAACTTTAAACTTCAAGATGGTTTACTTCAAGTTATTTATGTGTCAGAAATTTATAAACTCAAAGTTTATAACCATTAAGAAGCTATTATAAAACAAAATACTTTTAACAAGATGTAAACAAAAAATTCACATGTCACTCTCTTAAGATGCAAATGTACTGTTTTTTATCTCCCTGAGAATATCAAGAAAGCCTTTTATCATGAGACTGAGATATCCATAGAATTCTTGGCAAATTTAACCTCAAGCAACATCATTTTAAAATCTTTATTAATATTCTATTAAAAAAAATTTTAAAATGACAACTTGAAATTTTTAGATCTCCCATTTTACTACTTCTCATATAGTTAAACATGGGTATCATGAACACAGATATCTCCAATATCATGGATATCTTGCAGTGATTTTGGAAGTCCCCAATTGTTTTATGCATTTTACACTGGATATCTGGAATCCTCAGATATTTCTAAAAATTAAATTACTTGATCACATTGAGTTTTGTAATAACAAGCTTAGTCTGTATTTGTAATTCTATTAGACAAAAAATTCTCCTAGTCTCAGTTATTTTTTTTCACCTTCTTAGATGTGCAGATAATATATTAATTTCTATTAAAATGTTGAAAGGAGGGGTTTGAATTTATTTGTGTATTTCTGGAGATAAAATAAGCTCACGACTTTTTCTTCATGCCAAAATGTTCCAGCATAGAGATCTATAATACTCTATAGTGTCCACTGTTTATATTTAAGTGACCAGTAAAGTGAGGTTTGGAATTTTACACAGTGTTATGTAATAGTTTTTTGATGTGGCTTTGTGGTTCCCTTGTTGTGAGGTAAAATGTGTTGACCTCATTGTAATGGAAACAACAACAAAAACCTTATATTTAAACATTTCAATTTCTTTGTAGACTATTTCCCTTTGATCATCCTTGTAGCCTAAACTCTCTTTGAAAAGAAATAACATTAATTTTTATGTATATAGATAAACATATCTCCTTTCCTTAAAGTCCAGTCGATTCTTACTAAAGATTAAGTGTGCCAACATTGGTACATATTGGATTAGAACATATAGAATACGTTTCATTACATAACCCATCACATTAGCTGTGAGTCAACAAACAAATTCCTCTCACCGCCCACGCAGATATCCACTCATTGTAGGTCAAATGAAATGCACAGAGCCTGTAGCCCTTAGGTTATATAGTCCTACATGTCTTTAAAAAATCTAAGTTTCATAAATGCACAAATAATGGTTCAGGGCTACAAAACTTGAAAACACTTACGAACAATAATTTCATCAAACATTGACCATGCAAATCTCTACTTTCAATTTGCGCTTACGCATGCGCGGTAATCGTAAGGAATAATTTGCATATGATTTCGCGCCGTTTTACCAGAGCATCCAACTTAGTTGAAACTTTATTTCATCTAAATTAGACATCATATATACACCGTAGTTGATACATAGAGGATTTGGAAACAAGTTGTTACAACTTATATTAATCTGTTTCCTTAAATAACTTTCAACTATAAATAAACATCCAACTTGACATGCTTTAGTCCTTCTCAAACTGTATTGTCAGTTAATAAATTAATAAGATTATAAATAAATCAATGAATAATTGATTTATCTATTTATTTACGTTTTCAACATTAAGTTAAACAATCCCTTTCGAAGGAATACTTGACAGGGACATTTACTGCATTGTACAAATTCACTACAAATTGAGTAAGTGGTTCTCACTTACTCAATTACATACCTCACTTACCTGCTTACTGCAACAGAAAACAAAGTTTAAATCAATGCCAGTATTTCATCTTGTCCAAATTATATATTATGCTTTTAACATGTTTAAATTTAAAACTTGTTCCTTTATTTTGATTTATATATTTTTTTTTACTTACAATGTACCTCAATCAAGCGTAAATTCTAAATAAAGTTATGTCATATCGCTATAATTAAGTTTTTCCCTTCTATTTCTGAACAGCTATCCCGTTTATAAAGTGGCACATACATGTATTGTAAATAAGAAATCAAGTCACCTAGATTATACTAGTTTTTTTCATTCATTCAGATGCTTTAGAAATCCTATTAATCATGATAATATACAATCTTTTTTTTGTATAAGAACGAATTAAATAGCATTTTGTTAAGAACGAATTTGAAACATTATTATTAATTATTCTAAATTATATAATTTTACAGAAATATTAATATAACTATGTGAATAAAAATCCTTAGATACCGTCTATTTAGTGTAAAATTATCTTATTATGAAAAGCGGTGTCTTTTTTTCATCAATTTACCTTCACAGAAAATGTGTAGTTTACTATCCCAAATTTAGGCTACCCACACGAAGTACCTATATTACGAACCACACCAAAATGACAAGTAATACTGAAAGAGGAAATAATCAAACGCCTAATCTTTTATCGCAATTCTCAATTGTCATAAATAATTTACATTTTTAAAAAACTCAATAACAAAACGCGGAACAGATTACACGACGTCTTTACGATGAAGAATCAATCAAGTATATCGCCTCCTTTATAACGTATTCACAGTCTGTTATGTAAATAGAACTGTGGGTTTCACAGGTAATTCTAAAATGATTGACAGGTATAGTGGGCTAATCCCTGAGAAAAAATAGTTCCGTGATAAGTTTAACATTTACTAACGTTTTGCAAAATGACAGCGCACGTTATGATTAAAGTTGCATTGAATATCCTGTTATCAAACAATCTACACCTTGCAATTTCAACAAAACTAATACTTAAAGCCCAAAAATGTTACAAAAAGTCATAAGAAAACAACGAGTAGCGTAGTAATTTATGTGAGTCACGCAGCGCGAAGGAGTGGCTTAGACCGAGTAAAACCACGACAAATTGTATCTTCATTCATAAAACCACACTAGTAGCTCTCATGTCAACATTTATAGATTTTCTCTAACTTGTGTTTTTCATTCTGTGACTTGAAGTTAAACCACATGCATTTACCTACAGACCTAAACGGGCTTACCCCCTTCCCGGACTCTCCACACAACATGTCCGAAGTTTTGCCCGGGGAGAGAAGTATAACTTCAGTACTTAACGACACGGGAGGAGGTGAACTGGTCAGGACAGGGAGCCCCAACTTTGTGTGTACAGCCCTTCCCTCTCACTGGAGATCCAACAAGACTCTCCCCCTGGCCTTCAGGGTCGTGGCCCTGGGGGATATAAAGGATGGGACTAAGGTCCAAGTCTCCGCGGGAAATGATGAAAATTTCTGTTCTGAATTAAGGAATTGCACGGCATATATGAAGAATCAAGTGGCAAAATTTAACGACTTGCGTTTCGTTGGACGTAGCGGACGCGGTAAGTGTAGATATATCTATGTTGTTTATGTGCTTGTATAAATTCTACGACCCCTGTGTATTTGACAGCTGATTGAGTGAAATGGACATGCTTTCGTGAACTGGTCACTTACGCCTGGTAATGATTCGCTTGTGTTAATGCGGTGCACCGATTAAACCACTACATGGTTTTACGCACATCTTATGAAAATCGGAAATACTGTACTTCCGTACTGTTTGAGAAAAAATAACTTTCTCAGATTTCATTCTGGTCTTTTGAAATTTTTGGCGACTCCCCAGCCTATAGGAAGTATCTATCAATCTATTGCTCCTCGGTTCAAGCTATTTGAACCGAAGACTCTCAAACTTTTGTCATGAGAGTTCAAAGTATCGGGACTGACACTTTAAAGTGGCCAGTATAATTAACTGATTTTCCTACCACTGGGTTCACCGCAATTGTAACATGTTTCAACTTTTACCTTGCTGGGGTCTTCTCGAGTTGATTAATTATAATCTTCCTCACAAGACGTAGTTTAATTACAGGCAATATATAATATCTTTTTTTTATTATGTACAGACACTGACGTTATGTAGACTGATATCATAAATTACTTTGGCCTTTGTTTCCCTTTACGGTCCTTTCAGATTATACTATGAAGTCAGCACTGTGAATATCTAAGTTCGAAGTTGATTCATGGTTTTGTTTACATACCTTTCAAAGTTTCATTCATAAACTGTTCAGATATCCGTGACGAGAATTACAGGTAGTGGGAAAATTTACCTTTGTGGGCGTTTATTTTCTGGCCGCTAATCTAGGTCATAGTAAACAATGACCATATATAGAAAAACGTAGTAAAAAATTTAAAGGGTACGTTTGCGCAATACTCGTATAAGTGGTTCGGTCAAATGACGTGTAATATTATAGGTACTTAAAATAGTCTTATCTCTATAGAATAACTACTGATTTTCAAATGTCCATCTTAGCGGTTAAACTAGAATATGGACCCATATAGCTAATATTTTGAAATTTCTGTTACAGTAGTATATATACGATCGATAAAAAAGTCAGTTTCGTGAAGCTCATATAACTACATAAAAGAAGATAAAGATAAAAAGTATATGATATGTAGGTATACAAAGGGAAATCGATGGGAGGGGGCGTTGTACGGGGGCTGTCTCTAGGGGGAGATTTTAATGAAGATTATCCAACATCATATTTTACCAACATGCAAAAATTTATCTGCCTTCTCTAGTTAAATAATTTTATTTTATTTGACTCACGAACAACCGATTTCCTCGTCTATTTTATATGGTATGAGTTTACTCGAATATTTTGTATTAAATGAAATTAATTTCTTTGATTTACAATTTTTTCTTTAACCCCCTTCAAATGAAGAATTAATGAGTTGTTTAGAATACTTATCGAGTGTAAGTTGGTCATTCTGATAGACTTTGTAGGTATGGTCCCTTCGTCCTCTAAGTTTTCAGGCCACTTTTTTTTTTACAACGTACACATCATTATTACGATAGTACTTCAGTTTTTCATTGACCCCAGTATAGGCCACTGAGAAATCGATACATATTTCATATTTCATAATATACCTAAAGTTAATCATTTTATTAAAATTTTACGTCATTTAATAAAAATCACAAAGTAGAAGAAGAGAATAATATAAATATTTTATGAAATCATATTTTTTTTTTACGTGTATTGAAACAATACTAAATGGTATTTTACATTTTTAAAACACTTCTTTCATTAACTTCATCCTATATAACAATTAGAAGCAGACGGGGGGGGGGGGGATCTGTTAGTCAGTTGTCGAAGCAAATATTTATTTTGAAAAGGCAATTGTTTTGTCCACAAAAGGCAGTCTTTTTAATATCCCCGTGTATTAAATTAACATTTTTATATTAGAAATACTTTGGGTGTGCAAATGAGTCTAACCCTTTGGCCCTTCCTTCATAAATCAGCTTTAATAGCTGTCCAAAGCGTCAATGGTTAAGTCTTCCGACCCTTAGCAGCTCTGGAATTGCAACAATAGGGAAAAAAAGAAATGAAGTATAAAAGACACTTAATAAAACGGTACTACTTTAACTGATCATTCATCACGTCAGCTGTCATGGACAAATCATTTTAAACAAAGGAGTCGACTTTACTATCAAGTTGTCAATAAACCTTTTGTTAATGAACAACTTTTTTTCTTAAATATTCTGACGTATTCAGGCATTAACCAGTTTGTTTTTAAAAAGACGGATTGTCTCCATTTCAATGAACTGCACTATTTAAAGTTGTTTTTTTTAATTATTCAAATTTCCACAAATCTAATAAAATGATATTTTTTATGTAATTTTTTTTTTAGGAAAAAGTTTCACATTGACGATTACAGTATGCACACACCCTCCCCAAGTTACTCTTTATCAGAAGGCCATAAAAGTCACAGTAGACGGACCACGAGATCCGCGCAGCAAAATCAGTAAGTATATGATTTAGTAGTGTATTTCTCACCAGTTACCTCTCAATAATTGTTCTTTCGTTACCTTTGGGGAGGGGGAGGGAATCCGTTGAAGATAACATTAATCATTTTTTATTCAAATATTTGGAAATACGATCTAGGGGTGATAGGATGATAAAATGACACGCAACCATTGCGCATGTTCCTTTCGAGATCCAGTTCACTGTAATCAAAATTTAAACATTTTAAAAAGAAAGAAAATATCCATGAAATTTAAACATCAAAGGGCCTCATGAATTTGTAATTAACAAAATTAAAGCTGTCCAACGATCAGCGCGGGTTTAACATGCCGTATATCTCCTTCATCAAACGCTGCATTTTTACCCTCTTTCGGGACAACGTGTTCCGACTGACAGTTGTTTCGGGAAAAAAATGTGGTCTAACTTGATGCAATTATACCTCGAACCCGATCTTTAGATTTACATTACAAAGGACTCTCGATATAAATTTGCCTTGTGTGTTACGTAATATGCATTGGGTTCTTCTTCGAGTGTTTTTTTTTTAAAGTCAATGCCATCTGCGTATTTAATGATGAAAAAATAATCCTTTAAAAAGAAGTTAATTTTAATTTTTGTCGGCAGATTTTTAATTATTCAGAAGTACTGAAAGGAGAGTGGTATTTACGAACCCCAGATATACACAAACCAAAGATGTTGTACGTGTGCATGAGGACTTTTGACCTTTAAGGGTACTCGAGTGCACCATATGGCAGTCTTTGTCACACATAGTCTAATGTGAGAAAATTTCGTGTGACAGGGCATTAGATCACGACCCAAAATCATAGTTTTCACATTGCTAGAAAGTAACATTTGTTTCCTTAAGAGAATTCTAACACTTTATTCCAATTTCTTCGAACACCTTTGTTTTAAAAAAAAATACGAAAAACGTCTTTCCGAGGAGTCAGATTTCTACAAAAGTGAAAATTAGCATAAAGTATTATGTTTTTGGGACGACTTCACTGACTGCAGTTTCTAAGAAACGAGGCACGGGGTTTTTGTATTGTTTGAAACCATTATTGAAAGTTAAGAGACTTTGTCTTGTGGAAAGACGTGACTGGGTTCCTTCATCGATCACACTTCGCATTAACCACCGGGGAGGGTTAAATGGATATTCCTCCCCTACCCACTTCTGGAGGGACATATGCCGATGCTGAAAAAAATGAGGAGGGTATCGCGTGTCTAAAAAGGAAAAAATTAACGCACGTGTAAAGAAAAATAAACGAGGATTACAGGGAAACCAACGAGCATTGTCGCTAAAATAATTATGTTAGCAACAACACAAAACAATTTGCATAAAACTTTGAGGAGAGAACTGATTAAAATGTAACAAGCTATACATCTTTAAGAAATCTCGTAGTTTATCTATTACAGACTGTTCAGAATTCATAATGAAAATGAATAGACTGGAGATATTTAATGCAAACCATCCATCTTTTTTATGGCTAAATGAATAAACAAAATATCACGGACATCATATCTTACAATAAAATATTCTAATAAAATGTCGCAATTGACAGTGACTGATTATTTACCCTATATCCTTAACTTTCGCGTCTTCTAACGAAATTCTCTTGTTTGTATTTGAAGTTCAAAATAAATTCTGTTCACCAAATTTGTATTCGTACGCCAGCGGTTAAATAGGGTGAACCGCAAACCAGGGTTCCGCTTCAGACATTTATGGTCGCCTTAAACCTCCACAAACTGATTACTTCCGAAATACTTAGAATGGTCCTAGAGAGAAATTAGAAATCCAAGAATTTTGAAATTTGAATTACAGTATTGAAACGTTTTAAATTGTTTTATATACTAGTACTATTTTATAGCAAGTGTAATAATTTTAATTAATTTAAACGTATAAATTTATAAAATCAACTTGGATAGTGACGGTAATTTAATGTCGAAAACTCAAAAAAAAAAACTTCACGATTCATTTTATAAGGTGTTTCCTTCTGTGTGTGTGATACAAGTAGAAAGAATGCTAACATTTTTTTCGGGAGTTCCCGATTTTCCTGTTGGTCATACGATATTAATGTACTGCTGTATGCATGGCTGCTTTTCGGGAAGTGAAATTTGCAACACACTAGTCCTGTAACGAACCTTGTTTACGAGTAAATAACAACAGTATGTGACATGGAGGAATTACTCGATTTTATGGTTCCCCGCGTTAGATTCAAAGGTCTACGGACAACCACACATACCACAGAATAAAAATGACATTTATGCATAATAAATTGATAATACGTCGATCATGAATACAAATAAACGAATCGGTCTTAGGCGGCTATACACGGGTCTGCAAATCAAAAAGAAGTTTGTACCAACGACCCAACTTACACCAAAGAATAAAATAAAAGCATTGCTCTTCAATAAACGAAAACAATCGAACAATCGTCCTAATTGTCAATTTTTCTGTCGTCGATCTTTATATTTTAAACATTCTGACATTTTGCTACTCCCCAAAAGAATGTGTGATTATTAAAGAAAATTGTCAATTTTATTTTTGGAAACAAACGTGCATTTATTTACGGAACTATTTACTGCATGGGCTACACAAAGAAAAGTTTCAAGAGTATTTTCTAATTTCCCCCAATCTTTTTATTTTTCTTAACAAAAAATAATTGTTTTCTTTTTAGAACTGCGGACGGACGATCGTCGGGTTCGAGGTCCTCTCGACATGCCTTCGGACAGAAATCCATTTCCGAATCCTTTGGAATCCACTCGATTTACACAACACATGTCTGACTGGGGTCCAGTCCGCAGACCTACGTCACATCCGGGGGATGCTTCCAGACGACTACAGTCCGCAGATTCCAATGGTTTCCATCACAATGGTAAAAATATATATATATATATATATATATATATATACAGAAAATAAATAAATAAATAAGCCTAAAATTCCTATATGATTTGATTTCTTTTTTTTTTATGCAATTCCTTTTTTTGTAGAATTCCTATTTGTGAACAATTTGATGTCTATGGAAATTTTTTATGCAACATTAAAAAAAAAATAATGTGTTAAAATGCCGTGTGAAATTTTGGTGAAAATCGGTTATTAATTAATGTTTCAAAAAATGTTAATATATATTTTTTTGCCAGGCACTGAAAACAATATGATTGGCATTTATTATATACCTGTACCAAAATGCAGTTTGATTGATAAAATAGAAACGAAAATCATGCATAATGCATACATTAATTATGAAATATAATTTTAGACCAGCTGTTCATCTATTTCCAATGCACTTAAAAATTATGAAGATCATTTTAAAATATTAATTTAAGAAAGACCCATGAAAATCTGCAAAATTGTCACAGGAGAATTAAAGAAAAAAAATTAAAAACCAATTTTTTGATGCATCTCCGAAATATAAGTAAGATAGAGTCGTAAGAATAGGACTTTACCTGCCATATAAAATATAATCCTATCAAAAGAATTTTTTGTGCGTCAGTGAAACGGTGACATGCCATATTTTTCTCTGTATAGTCGTCTTTGATGACTGCCCTCCTGCACAAAAGTCGCCAACTTTTTGGTTACCAGTAACGCTTTGGTACCACAACCTACATTCCTAGCAGAAATTCTGTCTGATATATGGAAATATATTCTATCAGATAACCATAGATTTAATTTACTGACAGTTTGACCTACATTTTTACGTTTATTTTATCTCTTTTTTTCACAGATCCACTCGCGAAAAGAAATCATTGGGGATTCGATCCCTCTCCGTACCCCTCCATCACCACCCACGCATCAGTCCCACCCTATACTCAGTCTCAAGGACTATCTGTCACAGGTAAAATTTTCAGAAGTGAGTAGATTTGCGATTTGAAAGCTTTAGATTTACACAACCAATTATTAAAAATAGTACTTACATCCCTATCTTAGTTAATATATAGGGATAGGAATTACTTATAAATGTACCTTCAGTACTTCCAGTTTCATCATTTTTTTACCGGCCTGTGTAAATACTATTTTTTATGAAAATATACAATCAAAACGTGTAGTAAATTACCTTGAAATTTAGGGGAAAAAATTAATTTAATTTAGTAAATGCTAAAATGTTAAATTGCTTGGTTGTGTAAATTGAAAGCAGTGACAAGTTAAGAAAATGTCCCATAGATCGCAACTTGATGTAATTCGACCCGCTCTGTTAATTTCAGACTTACGCAATTGGTCGAAATATTATGCATTCTTTAGCTCATATATTATTTAATTGAATAGTTAATGTCTTAGCATATGGATTTTAAACCAGACGGAAAAATTAATGAATCATTAAGATACGAAAGTCAAGTACAATTTCATTTCGTATATCATACTTAGCTTTATTTAAAAATTTCTGTAAAATTGAAATGTATTTATAATGAAATAAAGACGAAGTATTGAGATGTGACATTAATAGGAAAAAAGATTGTTTTCCGTGCCATTTAACAAATTGCATAAGGAAAGGTCTAAACAGTGTCAATTTCTTTCCTTCTAACAGGACATCAAATTACCCCTGCCACTCCCATCACTCAACCAATGGAGCAGGTGCTTCAAGACAACAGAATTCCAATTATGTCCAAGGATAGCACCCAGTTAGACATTTTACCCCCAAATCAGGATAGATCAATGCCTGTTATTATTCCAGACCCCCAGCGAGCCGACGGGACTACTCTAGAACAAAGATCGTCATCACTTGATCAACAACTTTCGCTGTTCCAGAGATTTCCTGAACACAGAATGTCCGAGTCTCGTTTTCAAGATTCCAGACACCTGTTTGGTTCCTCCAGTTTACCGCCATATCCATCTACAAATTCGAATCTCGCAATTCTACGCGAAAGTGCTATTTTAAGAGCCTCTGAAAACATTTCTAGAGAAATTAATCGTGAAATATCATTGCCTATACCTGGGTCCCATAATAGTTACCCCATGATGACCACAAACGAAATTCTGGATCGAATCAACCCACCAACGACCATGACGTCATCATATTTGAGCACATCTCCAACATTACCTTTTTATCCACATATTTATTCAAATCAGCCACCCATGCAATCCAGTATACTATTTCCAGAAGAAAGAACATACGCAATTTTAGGTCAGAGGTCACAGGAAATTAACACAGTGAGAGCAGACCGGCCTCTCTCTGGAACCCCGCCGCGCTTGCCCATCGAGGGTCCAAACAGACAAATGCTTCGAGACGACGTTGATGAACGATCAAGAATGGAAGCAGTTCGCGCAAATATCATGCAGCCAATGGAAACTCACGTAACAGACGCCAACAATTCTCCCGTTCGCCAAGGCGGGAATTTGAATACCGTTGCTGACGTTTCATCAGTATGGCGACCATATTGAGGACAATCATATACACTTTTTCCCTGCAACTTCCCATGTTGCTATTGTAATTTTCACAGTCTTGTTGAAAGCAACAAAGTGTTTTTCTTCGCTGAATTTGACAGTTGTTTTCGAAAAGAAGGCTAGCGCATGAGTTTTGAGGAAATGACGTCGATCAGACGGATTTGAACAGACGTGATATTTTGTTGATGTACAGATGTACAGTGTATGTAGCACGAGATAGAGGAGACTGATACTGATTTGATGGTGCTTGAAGACGGTGTATTTTGAGGACATTGTCCTGTAGAATCAGCTTTGGTTCTGTGATCTCAATTTGCGTTGATTTACGCTTGAAATGTACAACGTGTTTATTCTCGAATGTTGTGTTAAAAGTCCAGTGTTTTTGATCTCAAAGATTTGTGAAAAGTTAACTCTCTTTGTACCTTTTTATAAAATTGCGAACTGTGAACATTGTGCTAAATATGGAAGATAAATTTTCAGATTGTATTCATTAGCTTTGCCACATGTCCTTGAATTTGTGCAAGGACTTTTTTGACAAGTTCAAATGTTGTAAATTTTTAACGATTTATATTACAATCAATTTTGCCAAAGAAATCCCTTGGGATGAGTAAAACTTAGAAATGAATCACGAAAACAGATTGTCTTTAATGAAAGATGGAAAGTATTATAGAAAATGTTTGTACATCCCGTTCATATATTTATTAAGATATCCCGTTATTTTCATTCCACTTTTCAATTTTTTGTGTCTTTTTATGTGATCTTTCCATGTTTTCAAGATTAACAACAAAATTCCTTTTATAAGTCCACCTCTATTTTTTATTGTCGATAATGTTGTCTTGTTTTTGGTATGGTATCCTTGAATATCATACAGATATCCTGTACGACATTTGTATTTAACCGTTTTGAAGATTAATATGTCTACCTTCCTTAAAAGGTTACTCATAAAAAATCACCTTATTGTATTTTTAGACCAATTTGTCTCTGAAACAAACTTTTAAAAAGAAAATCAAGTATAGAATGGTTTTAGAAATTACCATGATTTTATCAGTTTACGAGTTCTCTCTGTCTAGATATTTTTGACGAAAGTGCTGTTAAATCTTAGACTCTGGTCTCTGATGAATTGTTTTGATACTCTTTTGTATTTTTTCGCTTTAGTGCTGTCTGTTTTCGTGTATGTCCGCACTTTTGTGTGGTTATTCAATAAAATGTTGATATATGTAATCCAGTCTTCCGTGATTTTTTTTTCATATTAAGAAATGACATGACGTATAATTGAATACTGATGCCCATCGAATCAGAACTAAAAAAGTTCTGTTGGTTTTTGAAATTCAAAACTGTTTTTTAATATCTTTTCAAAACTACAGATTTTATATACTCAAAAAATAAAAGACCACATTTAAATAATGAAATTACATCAAAAGCTCATTTGACTTTTTTGATTGTGGCAATTTTCTACAAATATGAACGTAGATTTAAGAGAAAAAAATTACATACGACCTCCCGATTCTATGGCAACTGTATTTCCCAAAAAAAGAAGAATTTGACATGTTTTCGAGAAATTATCTCAAAATATCACTAACATTGTTTTCCTAGCATATTCTGTCACTTTTTCTACAACAAAACATCCCTTCTGGACTTGTTTATAAAAAATTTAATATCAATATCCTCTCTCTCTCTTCTCTCTCTCTCTCTCTCTCTCTCTCTCTGGATATAAGTTATTATGTTCAATACATTGATTTGGAAGAATTTTATTTATAACTTCTAGTATTCATTCTAGTCTGTTGCAGACAATTTATTGATTTGAGAAATTACGCCGAGCTGCAAGTCCTTCTATAATCTGTATATCAATCTATATGTTTCTAAGCCTTTAAGATTATTGTAGATGTTTTAATTTCCTCTCATACAATGTGGGCGGTACTCTTGATCAGAAATCACGTGGGTGTATGGAGACAGTAACCTATGACGCTTTACAAAATACTGTTTATCTCCACTAATGAATCGAATTTAAATAATCTAAAACGCCTTGGAGACCAAAACTGTTCGGAAAACTAGCATATGAGAAATAAATGTTCTTAAGTTCTATCGCGAATCGAATATTTGAATATTTTATAGACAACTCTTTTTTTGAAATAAAAATGAAAGTCGCAAATATCTTGTGAATGGTCATCAACAAAATTACCTATTTTGTTAAAGACCACTCTGATTCTACACAGAAGTGTATGTAGTCTTCGAAGACCAGATCTCACAACAAACCGTTGGAATTCCAGTTGGCACTAATTGTGCTCCGGTATAAGCTGACCTATTTTTATATTAGCATAGGAAGCTGAATTTTTTAAGAAATTTCTAGTTGAGAAGAAAAAAAAATGCTGTGTTATCTGTTTCATATAAGGATGATTTACTGACCATAGACTTTAATGGCTTACTTAACAGCTTTCCTTATTCATGGCGCCGTGGTTAGAGCTTCTGCTCTAGAGTCGCGAAATAAGCAGTTGATCCTTACGTCGCGAGTTCGAATCCCATTGTGAGACGTGGAGACGATATCATATTTTCCCAGAAGGTGCTGGCAGCTTTCCCTGAGTGCCATTCAAAATGGCTCTCCAGGCAAGTGGTGGCGCCTCCATATGAGTGAAAATTTCTCGAGAGGGACGTTAAACAATATACAATCAATCAATCAATCATTACATGATTTGGCACTTGTAAATGAACGTCTAACATGTACATCCAAATTCTTGAAACATGTTGAAAAAGTTAATATATGTGTAAACTCGAATACAAAATGTACGTCGCGAAAGTATATTTGCTTATATTATACTTTCATGTAAATTACTTGAATCTGATTCGTGGAAACATTTGATAAAAAACACTACTACACGCTGAATAATGAAGTCACGCCCTCCTGCGTAGCAACAGTCAACATTGCTTGACGACGGGTGGTATTCCAAAAAATAGCGACTGCGCGGAATTTATGCGCGCACGGTTCACTGTAATATGTATTTGTATAAAACATTCAGTATAATATAATAAATATTGCATGTAGTTGAGTGTAACATTGAAAATTTTCACCAATCGAAAACCATTGTCAACCTTGGCTGCGCCTCGGTTTGCAATGGTTTTCTTGGGGTGAAAATTTTCAATGTTACACTCAACTACATGCAATATTTATATAATATGTCTTATATATTGAGGTGTAAATAATTTAAAAGACCATATTTTTCTTTCCTCATCACAATTGTACAGCTTTAAATAGAAATGGTAAACTGCGTTTGAAAACTAGAAGGGACTATATTTTTGGCGAAATGGTGGCGTATGAAAATATCTTCTTTTCTGCTTCTCAACATTATAATAGAACAACAAATTTAGTTATAATTTTTACACAATCGAAGACTTGGAGAAATTTTCAAATGTAAGTTAGATTAATAATGAGGGACTAAACTTTCAAAATATATCAAATGAATATGGTTTTTCAAACAAACTAGAACTTTATTCGCTTTTAAATGCTTCCTATCAAAGTGAAAAAAAAGTATTTTTTTCTCTCTCAGTAAACGATCAAAACTTTTTGTTTTTGTATCATTTCGTACATTTATAAGACAACTTTATTATATGTGAAAATAAGAAAAAGTTAAAAAATAAAATACAATATATCAAAAAATCAGAAAAAATTGGGATCAAATATCATTAAATGATTTATCACTTAGTAATGTTTTTATGCAAAAAGAACAATCATTAAACTTTTGAAATAGAAGTACATCAACAGTTATTTTTTATTCTTAATGTCAAGGAAAAAGATAATGACCTTGAAAAATAAAACGTTCAATATATGATATTGTATTCTTCATTCTGTGAAAATTTCATTAATTTTTGAGTATTAGAAATATGAGAAGAATCCTACCTTAGGTGCCTTAATTGCCTTTAAGACTATTTATTTTTTCCCCGGCTCTCAGGCATTTAAGAGGCGACCTTGACAAAAAATTCAGGACGATAATTTCTTTTTTGATTTTCATGTATTGTTTAATGCTATATATTTGTTGCATGAGTACAAAGAACTTAGCTATACAGTGTACAAGAAAAATGACATAGATGTGACAAAACACAATTCGCCATAAATTGATAAGCTACTATATACTCGCAGAACTCTTTTATGACTCGATTTCTCATATCGGAATCCCAGTTTTTTTTACTCACAATTTCCATGCAAAATTAATAGAAATGAAATCTCAATTATTTAAGGAAAGAAGCTTATTTCAACTTTTGTTATACGATATAGCATGACTTGTTTACGCTTTACGTTTATGTTTTTTTTTTTTTATTATAAAACGTAAACTGCCCCAAGTTATGTTATATCGTATAACATAAGTTAAAATAAGCTTCATTCCTTATAATTTAATTTCAGTGTAGACAATGAGTCAGTTTTTCCTCCAGAAAAAGGCTTCAAATTGAGCATATTTTAAAAGTAATGTCAAGCGTAGTAATACGTTTTTGACGTAACTCATTGTGACGTAGGCAACTTATACGAAATGGATTAAATCTTTTACCCGATCAAATGACGTGTTACAACTAAAGTTAAATTATCTAATTATAAAGCATGTTTAGAATAAAAAAAAATATTTTGAAGCATTCAAGTTTTTTAAAGCGTGAATATGGCTCACAACAGTACTGTAGTATTTGCTATAAACAAGCACATGACCAATTTAAGAAAATGAAGGGGAATCCCATGTTAACGGCAGGTATGGATGGCACGATTGTTTCTTACTTATCAATTATATGTAAAGCAATAAAACAATTGGTGTAACAGACCCTAATGTATTTTGTCAACCAAGTTTGATGTATTAGGTCACGTGGTTCCTTTTGTGTAATGGTGACCGGAACTTCATTACGACAAGTAATCGAACGAAGTATTTTTTTTTCTCTCAAATTGAAAGAAAGGAACAATTTATTAGAGAAAGAGGGAGGAAAATTCCTAAATAATCAGAGAAGAAAATCAGAATAAAAGAAACTTGTTTTCATTTATCGACTTGTTGCGAATATAAGGCTTGAGTATTGCATTGGTGATTCCAGTCGATTTTCATTGCAGAACAATGCAACTCTATTTAAAACAAACAAACAAACAAAACAGCAACTACAACAATTTTACTTTCTTTTCATAATTAACAAGTTCATACGACCACGAAACCACTTTTATATTTCCAATGCTCTTTTTAACAGTTAATGATTCATGGTTAGTTGAATCTGATCAGGAAACAAGTTCATTAGCGAGATATACATGTAATAGCAACATTCAAAGCTGTCTGTTGATAGGTGAAAGTAAAAAAAAATGTTAGGACTAAGCATAATTTATTCGGTCCACTCTATATGTACATATATCTGTAAAAAAAATATTCACTCGTATGATATAATAAAAATAATTCCATGTAGTTGAAAGCAACGAACTGAACATATCACCTCTCAAACATATCACCTCTCAAAATTGTAAACTTCTACCGCAGCATGTTAAAAATAGGTGTCTAAGGTGAAAAATTCTACCCTCAGCCACATGCAACGATTATATAAGTAATACCGATTTCAAATGTACCTCTAGCATATATGAATTCATCAAATCTACGCTGGATTGCTTTCAGACCAGGTCAAATGTATTTTTGGTGCTGCAATGAATTGGTTAGTGAAACTAATTTTATCTAAACCTATGAAGATATGAAGAAAGGATAATTTTACCAATCATCCTTGAACATTCAAAATTACAAAAATTAACATTTTCCTATATGTACGAGTATACTGATATCAAGTAGTAAGAGTAAAATTGGCGAAAACAAATTAGTAAAAGAACAAAGAATAAAAGTAATGGTGGATATACATTTTTGTAAAAACGGTTTGACATTTGTGTCGAAATTACCAGATACATTTCAGAATAGAATTGTTTCAAGAGCAACTTATTTTACATTTACATGTATTTCTGTATATATTTTACACATATATATTTAAAACATAGGGTTAACATAGGGATCAAAAATATCAAAATGAATTCTAAACTTTTTATACGGAGCAACTGGCAATACATAAAGAAATTACACTTTAACGATATTATAATTATGAACATTTATTTTCTTATTAAAAATAACAAGGGCATATACTGTGGTGAGCTTCAAGAGATTATATATCTATCAGTAGAATTCTTACAAAATTTGGTCAACTGGCGGTCAGTAATTTATTGACAGCCAGGTGTGTAA